ACATCACCCCTGCCCCAGCCCAGAGACCTCCAGACTTCCTGTTGCCTGCACACAAAAGGCAGTTTAGGTCCTCAGTCCTCCAGCCCTGGAGGATGCTTGCAGCCTGTCTTGCATTCCTCACCTCTCCTGAACATCTATCTACCCAAATCTGCATCTGTGTCTCCTGTTTCCCATCTTCCTAATATATCACACCCCACATACACACCACACTACACACACACACACACATACACACACCCATATACACACCACACTACACACACACATACACACGCCACATACACATACATAGACACCACACACACACACACACCCATATACACACCACACTACACACACACATACACACGCCACATACACATACATACACACACCACACACACACACACACAGCATTTATTTACACACACACACACACACAGACACACAACACACATAGCATATACTTACCTTGCACAGACCTAGAATAACTATGAACTCCAGGTTGTGAGAAGCCTGTCATCAACGCCTCGGTTGAACTAGAAGCTGCAGCTAGGTTTGGGGGTGGTTCTTCACAAAATACGCTATGCTTTTTGCACGTCTCTACAGAAAGAAATGACTGAAAGAATTAGACGCCATATGCTGCCAAACCGGTGCCTCCAACAGTGGGAAAAATGAGCGATTAAAGAACTAAGAGGTTTCTGCTTCATTTGCTTGAGATTTATTCTACCTTCCATGCCCAGTGAAACCTCCACAGTCTGCAGCACTCACCCTCAATTCCACTCTCTCCCAGCTGGAAAGATCTCTCCATTCTTTCTCTGGAGCCTCCAAGTGCTCGGCACCTGACTTACAACATTCATTTAAATCCCCATTCCATTTGAATATTTTTGTATGCAGTCCCCTCACTCCTCCCCCTCCCCACACTGCCCCCCTCCCCATTTGACTGAAACTCAGGAAGGCAGAGAATCTATCTCCTGAGCTCTGCTGTCTCTCACAACCTCAATAGATACAGGAATTGACACAGTGCTTGACAGATCAGTGTGTCACATGCTGAAGAACTGTGTTGAAAAACACCCAACTTAAAGGGGAAACTAAGTCAGAGTTTCCAACATGGATGTGGTATTTGAATCAGGCGGTCAGCAGCTGGGAAGAGAAACGGCCAGAGTTGTGCCCTGCCTTGGCGTGGGTCTCTGAATCTCTGGCCTCTTTTTTACTCACCTTCTAAAGAGCATCCATGGCCACCTACCATAATCCCATCTGAGAAGGAGGTGGAGAAGGAGGTGGCTTTGTCTAGGTCATGCCTTGGGCATCCACTCAGGGGCACCATGGGACGGGTGTCAAGCTAGTTAGCATTGCCAGTGATTCACAAGAAGCTAAGAACTAAAGTTCATCTCTCCCCCAAGGAAAGGTCACTTTGCCTACTTGCCTTGTCTTGGTTGACCTATGTAGCAAGACTTCTACTTTGCTGCCTCCTGGCTCTGTCATTTTTCAATTACAATTTGTCCCTGCCACTCTAGCCACGGGTCAATGTGGGTCTCTTCCTGATCATAGATCCACATTTATGAAACTCTAATTAGGCATTTCCTTCACTGCTGACATAGCTCATCGGGACAGGTCTGCAGCCGTAAGCGAGGTATGAACCAGAAGACTGTTTGGATACCCAATTAAGAGCTCATGCGTGCAGCTCTGCTCATCCCTCTGCTCCTCACATCTGTGGTAGCTCTGTTTTGATTTGGGAACGCATGACCCGTACCTCTATTGTGATTCATTACAGAAATGAGACAAGATGTGTTCCTCCATAAACTTCTGGGATATTCCCTCCTTTTTAAAATTTTTTTTGTACTTAATGTGGCAACAATACATACAGGAATCTTTTCACAATCTCTGGGTAAAAGAATAAAGAGTTATAATCTTTAGCTGGAAAAATATCCCTGTATGTATCAAGAACCTTAAAATAACTATGATATTTGAGCCGTTTAATATCCTTTCAGGAATCTTTTCTAAGGATATGTTCAGAAATGCAGAAAAATATTTATGCTCAAGAAATTGATTATAGCACCATTTGTAATCATTGTTATAAAATTAATATGATGAGAGAATATATATATATATATTTCCAATGGCATTTTCTATTTATACAAAAACTGTAAATAGAAATATATGTACCCTTCTCCAAGGTTGAAAATGTGTTAAAGGCATATTCTTGAAGACTGCTTAGAGCCTTGGATATGCTAATGAGGGTGGGAAAGCCTCTTCACCTCCACCATGAGACTTAGCTCAGGACACAGGCTCCCTGTATCATGAGAGGTGTCGTAGCTGCCTATCAATGAAGCACAAGGCAACAAAACTATAGGAAAAGTCTCTAGGAAAAGCTACCATCCTGGGAAGGGCTCTGATGCTCTTAGGGTATGAAATGGTTCTTACTTCTCCTAGAAATATTTTCCTATGAAAAGGCTGAATGTTGAGAAATCGAGCCAGGGGACATTCCACTTCATCTGCAGCAGTCACAGGGTGTGATATGATTGGCTGAGGCACGTGGGATCGACCTGCATGTTGACAGAGAGGATGAATGCCGTGAGGGTAGTGACGGGACCCAGGACAGAGCTATCCCTGTTAGCTTACTTTCCATGGAAGAGGAAATGTGTGCAGGAATACTTTGCTGTCACCCTGGACCTAGCCAGAGCTTCCAGATACTTCTTGAAATACCTCCAGGATGTGAACCATTTTCTAGGTCTCTTCTGCTGCCTGGCTATCCTTGACTCCAGCTCCACACACAGGCTGCACTGAGGTCCCTTGAGTTGGGAGCTTCATTCAGACACTCCCCTTCCAACAACCCTAAACTCAGAGTTCCTGCTGTGTTCCACCACTATAACCTGGAGCTACCCCCTCTAGTCACAGGCTCACCCCAATATCTCTACATTCAGATATGGTCTCATCAATAAGGTGGAGAGGGTAAACTGAGTCAGGGACTCTCACTGAATTCAACAAGACATTGGAGTGACCCTCGTGGACCCTTCCTGCTTGAACCTCCTACTACAGTCCCTAAAATATTCATCAGGCTTTATCAGACTAATAGGCTTCAAAAGAAGTAATTTTCTGAGATATGAGAAGGGACAATATAAAAAGAACATTAAGGAAGAAATTCTTATTCCAAAATGAAAGGGAAAAGATCATTTAGCATCCCTGTTGGTGTTATCTATTCATGAGAAACAGCACATTTAATCCAGTGCGGGATGGAGGGAGGACTTTGATGCCCTCACCTTGGGGTCCCCTTCATGCAGAACTCATCAGCCTCTCCTGCCATCTGTGACAGGGGTGATGGAGAGAAAATGATACAGATGAGAGACACTTCAGAGGATTCCACGGGGTGCAGAGGAGACTGAACACAAAGGAGAGCCCAGGCTTGCACAGAGGGAGGGGACCACTATTCTTCAGTCTGGCTGCCTTTTCTGTCTCCTGCCTTCCTCCCCACATTTTTGTTATAAATTGTACAGTGTGAGTCTGGTCTCTTGGGTCAGAAAATGTGACTCCTACTGTATCAGTTACTTTTACATCACTGTAACCAAATGCCTAAGAGGAGGGGAGAAAACTACTTCTGCTCATTGTTTCGGAGATGTCAGTCCATCATAGCAAAGAGGGAAAGGCAGAGCCGGGCCATCCTTGGTAGTCAAGAAACACAAGAAATGTGTGGAGTGAGATACAGTTCCAAGGATGCCTTCCTAGTAACCTCTTCCTCCAACTAGGTCCCACATACCTAGTTTTCGCCACCTCCTAGTAATATAGCCATATAATGAATCCATTAAGGGATTAATTAATTCATTAGGTCAGAGCCATATGGAGGCAATCATCCCTGGAAAGGTCTTCACAGACATGCCAGAGGTGTAGCTCGCTGATTCTCTATGGGTTTCTCAGCCCAGTGAGGATGACAGTCACACCACCCTCTCCCAACATTCTACAAGTGCCCTGAGAAAGAACAGGACCCTGAGTGTGGCAGGCTGTGAAGACATAGTTAAAAGTAACTAGTCCTCAGTACAGGTAAAAGGTTACATCTGTGGCTCTTTGCTTCCCCGGGTGCCCCAAGGTGAAGGAAGGCAGAATCCTGCTAAGAAGTCTGTCTCCCTTGGAATTTTTCCTTGAATTAGAAGGGCCAGGCTACACTAGGTTCTCTGATGAGCCCTAAGCAGTGGATTAGGGGCTCTGATTCCTCAGGGTTCCTGCTTCTTCCCCCTCTAACTCTGAATTCGAACCACTCTGCTGTTCTCTTCTTTCCCTGTCCTTTCTTCTCTCCTCGTTTATCTCAATCTCTAGCTTTACTTTCATTGAAGCACTATTCTTTGTACAGCTCCATCTATCCCAGAACTTAGAAAAATGCATTCACCTGCACCTTGTCCATTGAAGACACTCCTACGTGTCCATCAAAAATAGTGGTGATTGTGTGAACAAGATGTTCTTTCTGCCTGTTGTCAAATGCAGTCTGTCTGCCCTTTGTGGCTAAAGGTTCTGCATGCATGAATCCACCCAACTGAGGAATGGCTCCCATATTGAATATAAGTAGGCTTTTCCTTTTCTTGTTGTTAGTCCCTAATCAATACAGCTGAGCAATTATTTAAAGAATTTACTCACATTGGAAATTTTAAGTTATCTGGAGTTTATTTAACATATGCAGGAGGATTTGCATATGTTAACTGCAAATGCAACATCATTTTCTACCAAAAAAAAACTTGAACATCTGCAGATTTTAAAATCAGTTTGGTTCCTGGAGCTGATTATGCAAACTCTAAAGGGTGGCTGTACTCAGCCAATGACTGGGTCCATTTGTATTTCTTCTTTTTATTGTGTTTGATAACCTCAGTGTGTGATATATGTCAAAATTATGTTCTTTAAGTCTTTGGGGTAATAATTTCTGACCCCAAAACATCTTCTTCTACTTTCAAAATGAGATTTTAAAAGGTTGCTTGATGTCACGTTGTAGATCCAATTTTAAGTGTTACTTCTCTGTGTGTGTTCTTTCTCCCCATTAGATTTGTGACAAAGAGTGGCATTACTATGTCATCAATGTGGAGTTTCCTGTGGTCACCCTATACATGGATGGAGCAACATATGAACCATACCTGGTGACCAATGACTGGCCCATTCATCCATCTCATATAGCCATGCAACTTACTGTCGGCGCCTGTTGGCAAGGTAACCCTAAGTGGAGCCCTCTTTCAACTCTGTGTGCTGTCCATGGGAGATATTGTTAGAGAATAAAGAAAAGATAACATGAAAGCTAGCCAGAATAAAAGTTGCTAGTTCTTTACTAACAAAACAGTACTCAGAAAAGTAAGCATTAATCCAGACACTAGCTCTAAGTAACAATGGAGCGCCAGGCTTGAGAATGGATTTTTATTTTAGCTCAACCAAGACAAGTTCATGGATGCCTCTGAGTTACTGAGGCTGTTTTATTATTCTGGGATATTAACTGGTTCCACACAGTGGCTGCATATATGAAAGGGTTGAATATAGAATCTCTAATCAAAATTGTCAATTATCTCAAGGTTGCTTAGAAACCAAGGATCTCATTGTCACTCAAGTGTCCAAACCCCTGGCATCTGCATGCTCGGGGCTATGAGAAGCAAACTGTCCACAAGCCACGCAGTCATAGGGGCCATTCTCGAGGTACGCTCAGTGCTCAGTACTGACCCTTGCCTCAGCCCTGTCCCTCACCTCTTAGGACAGAGGCCCTCGGGCAATGCCACCCATGGAGAAGTCCATTTCTTCTAGTTTCTGTTTTCTTGAGTACTGGGGATTCTCTGAAGCCCACTGAGGGCAACTAGAGGGGAAGGAGGATGTTCCCAAGTAGACAGACAGCACTCTGAGGTAAGACCCAACCTTGTGTTGATTGAATCTGTGAACGCCTCCAAGATTGTAATCTGTGAACCACTCAGTGGTGAGGGGAGAGGTGCTGTTAATGAAACCATCCCACAGTAGTTTCAAGAAATTGATTCCCACATCTCACATGGACACCAAAGCCTTGCTCAAGCCCAGTTAAGATGACATTGTTCCTACATATAACCCCACACAATAGGTGATGTTTTTCATCGGGACCACCAACTCACCAATAAATGACATACAGACTTATTATTAATTATAAATGCTTGGCCGATAGCTTAGGTGTATTACTAACTAGCTCTTACACCTTAAATTAACCTATATTTTTAATCAACATTCTACCACATGGCAGTTTCTTTTATCAGCATGACAAGTTCATCTTGCTTTTTCTCTCCACATCCTGGAGACTCTGCCCTTCTTCATCCCCGTGCTCTCTTTTTCCCTCTCTGTGAGTCTCACTAACCTCTTCCTGCCTAGATATTGACCATTAGCTCTTTACTAAACCAATGACAGCAACACATCTTCACAGTGTACAAAAAGACTATCCCATAACGCTGTACAATCTCCTGTATACTTCGTTTTCTTGACTATTTATATCCCATAATGCAAGATAAATACTCTACAAATAGTACATATACCACATTGTTTAGTCATTTTAAATGCCTGTAAATATGAAGTGCAGACACAAGTTTTAAAGATATATTTTTGAGCCACCTGAAGAACCTGTGGGTATCAGAAGCCAACCATATAACAATTTGCTCTCTGTGGATCAGTTGACACAGGAGTGACTTAGGGGAGTCACAGGTGTCTGTGGATAAAGAGTGGTTTGGGAGCAGCTTCATGGGACAAATATGGAAAGAGGAGTATATAGTATACACTCTGAGCTTTGGGAAGCAAAAGCCAGGGAGTAGACACAGATCCGTGAAAAATAAAAATAGATGTTCTTGAGCTGAGGCTACCCATGTCATGTGTGACATCTTTCACCCAAGGGTGACAAGCCTTGTTTAACATTTTTACAGGACTTGTGGATGAGAGTCTTTTCATTATTGTAGGCTCCTAAAGGTGACAAGAGAAGATTGTACCTTATGGCAAGGATCCATGAAACTAACAGATAGATCAAGGCACTAACGTAAAGGTTGGACAGAACTTATTGATCATTGGACACAGCTGTGCTGAAGTGGGGGCCTTGGTGTAGCTCAGAGCCCTAGCCAGATACCAGCATGGGTATTACTGGACATAGCCTGAAGAGAAAAAGACACCGCTAGGTACATCCTCCTATGAACTTCACCATGATTTCTTCCTGGTTGCCCTCAGAGATCACATCTGGGTTCTTGTCACCCCAAGCCAGTTACAGCTACTGCTCCCCCAGTTATATGCTTGCCACCAGAGGTGGGAAAACAATCCCACCAAATAAAAAGTGATTCTGTAAATAATTAAGACCATCCCTGAACCAGGTAGAATAGGCTGGTGCCCCGCAGTGACAAGCATGTGCCAAGTCTCAGTTAATGAATACTTGTGTCTTGGTATTCTTTACCAGTTGCTTCCCTGCTTTATCATCAGTGTGGGACCCAAGCAATTACAGCAGCCACCTCACTAAGTACAAAGAAAGAAAGCACAGCTAAGTGTGTACAAGCTCCAAGAGCGTCCGCCTATCAGGGACACCAGTCACTTTAGTCCTCGTATTGCGCAGAGCAATCCATCTGACCACAGCTAAGAGAGCAGGGAGGTGATGATTATGGTGTGTCTGGAAGGAAAACTGAAAGTATTTATGAATTTCATATATAAATACCACAGTCTATCCACCTTGTCAACTAACACCTGTTTGGCTTTCTCAATTAATATAATAATTAATTAATACATATTAGTCAGTATGTATTAATACATATATATGTACTTACAGATATATATATATCTATATATATACAGATATATATATATATATATATATATTAATAGGACAAATAATCTGACATTACCACAACCACTATGCACTCTCCCAGTACACAAATGCACACACACACACATACACATACACATACACATACATACCATAAAGCACTTCTATTAGAAAAGATGTATTAGAAACATTCTAGCGGTCTTGGCCCATAGCAGTTATGAAAGACCCTCTTGGCAGTTGTGAGTGAGGGTGGAGAATATTCTTTGTGTCCTCCTTAAGTCTATGCTTGCAGTTGTTCCCTTCACAGACCACATCTGAAGAGGATGCTGTGAGTCTGTAAGTGCCAGCTCAAAAGGACATATGATTACAGTTTATTTGAAAGCTACTTTGAATGCTAAGTTGTAACCCTGGTTTCAACATGTTGCTATGATAAACTCCAAAAACAGCATAGAAGAGGATGGAGTTCACTTCATCCTACACTTTGATAACTCACCCTTGAGAGAAGTCAGGGCAGGAACTCCAGGAAGGAAGCTGGAGTTAATAAACATGGACGTATGCTGCTTGCTGGCCCATGCCCAGCTCTCTCACCTGCCTAGGGATGGCGCCTCCCACAGGGGCCTAAACCTGCCCACATCAGTCATCAAGAGAAACACCCACAGATATGGCCACAGGCCAATCTGGTCCGGGCAATTCCTCAGTTGAAGTTTTCTCTTTCTAGGTTTTGTGCCCAGTTGACAATAAAAACCGACCAGGACAAACGCTCGTTTGGATTTTGGCTCATTTTCCAGGCATGTGCTAGGGATGCTCTTCCTTGGGTGGATGAGGTCTTGAGTCTTTCTCTGTCTACTCTGCTGAGTGGCAGTTCCTAATATCAATTCCTGGTGGGCATTGCAGGAGCTGATAGGTGCTGATGCAGGTGCTGCAAACTCTCTACTTCCTGTAACCTTATCATTGCAAAACTCAAAAGCCCGTCCTCCTCTTGCTAACCAGCTGTGTGCTTCCTTAATTCTCCAAGAAGCAACGAGAGAGAGAGAGAGAGAGAGAGAGAGAGAGAGAGAGAGAGAGATTTGGAGGCCGAAAACTCTGAGCTTGAGTTACATCCCAACCTTACCCCTTGCTGGCTCCAGGGTCCTAACGCCACTGAGTTCCACAGAACCCTTCTCTAGAAGCTATCTGCTTTCATTTTTTTTCTAGTTTCCACATGAGAGAAGATATGATAGTTGTCTGTATCTGCCTGATTTTTCTTACCACGATCTCCAGTTGTATCCATTTTCCTGCAAATAGCATGATTTCATTCAACATTGTCCTAAATAATACTCATGTATCATGTATGTGTGTGTATATGTATATGTGTGTGTACACATATGTGTGTTTTCCTTATATAGTTTATCTGTTAATGGGTACTTAAGTAAATTATATATCTTATTTATTATAAGTAGTGCAAAAACAAACACAGGTTTGTGGATATGTGTATTGACTTAAGCTTCTCCAGATATACATGTGCCAGAGTAGTATGGCTGAATTATAAAATTTAATTTGTTTTTCCCTGAAGTCTAAAACTATTTGAGCAATTTTCATATATTTATAAGCCATTTGTAGTATTTCTTTTGAGTAGTATCTCTTCAGATCATTTGACAATTTTTGATGAAATTATTTGTTCTTTAGAGTTCTTTATATACTCTGGATATTGATCCCCTGTCAAATGGATAGTTAGCAAAAATTTTCTTTTGTGTGGGTTGTCTCTTCATTTTTTTTCCTTCTGCTTTATAGAAGCTTCCTAATTTGATGTAATCTCATTTCATTGCCTGTGCCAATATTTCTGGTATGTTTTCTTTTAGAAGTTTCAGAGTTTTAAGCCTTTGATTCATTCCGGTTGATTTTTTTAAAATACAGAATGAAGAATAATGGGAGTGTAGGTTTCATTTCCTGCATAAAGGTGTCTTGTTTTCCCAGCACTCTTTGTTGAGCAGGCTGTCCTCTCTCAGTTTATATTCTTGCCACTTTACTGGGAATCCACTGGCTATAGGTGGCTGGATTTATTTCTAGGTCCTCTGTCCTGTTCCCTTGGTCCCCGTGTCTTGTTTCATACCAACTCCATGCATAGGATTTGAACCAAGCACTGTGATGATGCCGGCAATCATCTGTGCTCTTTTTGCTCCTGAGCTTCTAAACTCTAGTTTCTCAAATAAGAGTAAAGCCTGCCTCTCAAGGTTCCATGAGGGATGCATGTGCTTGACATGTTTCATGTGAATGAATGTGTTATTTTAACATATGTTCCGTACTTCCTCCACCTTCCTTCAAATCCGACACAATAGACAATCGACAAACGCTAGGCCTACTCTTAGACCTGTGGCCCCAGCTCTCCTCAGCTGCCCTGCATGGATTCACTTTCCTCACCTCCCCTCAGGCTAGCCCT